AGACCTGAAGGTCCATGGTTACATCCCGTGACTCCACTTGTCGATGAGCGCCCATCTGTTGCGTAATCAGCAATCAACAGTCCGTCTTATGGCGTGTCGTACAATTACAAAAACGTGCTAGGACTGCTGTCGATGAGGAATCGCACTGTGGTTCGCGATAACACACGATATAACGCGCATTCCATGTGTGATCTAAATTAGAAATGGAATGGCGTCCAGTCGGAGATTTTAGCATCGTTTGTCACAGAGGACTATTTTATTATTGTAATCGTACACTCGTGTGGCAAATCGTAGGATGGTTATTTTGGATAACCACCGTCAGAACGCAGTAGGGGTGGAACATAATACGTCTACTGCCGAGCTATGCTCAGTCGTAGTGTCCAGTATATCGGTGCCCAGCTGAAGTTATACGGATGGAAACTATTAGAGCGTTTTTATCTCGTGATTTGGACCCAACATGTGCGTGATAACTCGGACGTTGACGAATTTTAAAGAGTTTTTGTATCAGGATCGTGTGGCTTTTAAAGGAAAACGTACACCATTGATCATGGGTCCGCCAGAGGTTCAAGTGGTAAATCTGTGTTAAAATACTCATTTCTTCTCAACGTTTCGTCGCTTGAGTATTGTGGTGCGGTCGGAAGATGGAAACATCCGAATCGCAGCTCGCGCTCGCACGACTTAGTAGTGTGATATCGGATAACGGTGCCGAGGTGCAGTTTGGTCAGGACGGACCCGCTAGTAGCACTGCCTCTACGAAAATCGCGATTCATTCGCCGAACGATACGCAACCGGACGAAAATGTGGCGGTCAAGACCTTTTGTAATCGGCGCAGATGCTCGTGCGTTTTGGTAACTTTGTTATTGTTTGTCGTCCTGGTCGTTATGTCCGTGGCGTTGGCTTTAACGTCGAAGCAGTCGGGCGTACCGGCGTGTGTGTCTTTGTGTAACTCAACCGCTAATGAATCCTCAGCATTTCCGATGACAGACGTAGAAAGGGAAAACTCGACTGTTAGTATGAATATGACTGGGTACATTTGGGAGGAGTCCCGTTTACCCTTTTCCGTAATTCCGACATTTTACCAAATCCTCCTTAATATCGATATAAGCTCTAGACGATTTGCAGGAAAAGTTGAAATAGAGATATTGTGCCAACAAACAACCAACTTGTTAATTCTGCATGCCCACCAGATAAATATCGAGAATACTGTCGCCATGGTGATGGATCTACACACTGGGGCTAACTTGACCATTATAGACAGATTCCAATACGCCCTGTATCAGTATGACGTCATCGTTCTGCAAGAGCAACTGGAAACAAACTCCCGTTATCTGCTGACCATATCAAACTTTTCAGCGCTGTTATCGGAGAACTACGAGAATTTTGCCGGAGGTTTTGGACTGTATCTGTCGTCCTATGAGTCTCCGACGAACGGGACCAGGTGAGTGTCATTGTATGTTTACTGGCAATCAAAGTGTGTCAACAAATAGCTTGTATAATGCCGTAAGGTCTGTAATCAACTCCCTAATTTTTAAGTAGCCGTCGTGATCTCGTTTTGAACGATAGAGCCTCCCCCCCGAATAGTGTCCATTCTTCAACACCATAGCATCATCTGGCCATGGGAACGAGGGTATCTGGAACAGTGAACGCTGTGGCGGTACAGGATAGAACACTATGGGGGTGCAGGCTGTATGGGTGTATCGCTTTCCCCGCGATCTCGTCGGCTATTTACGAATATGATCTATTAATCTTGAAACATGACCAATAAAGAGATTGTAAAATATGTATAGACATGCGCAATAGTGTTTTTTATCGAATAAATACTGTTGTGTCTGCATAAGCAACACTTTTAGATTTCGATAAATCAAAATCCAATTTAGCTTTCAGCATGTATCACACCAAATTATCATCGGGCAAATGTATGTAGAATTTAGCGAATTTTTGTGTAAGTAACATATTTTAGGTAAATGATTCATTGAATGCATTGTCATAGTGTGTCTCTCATATTCGTTGAGTATGCGTGTTCTAATTTCGTGCAAAGAAACAATGTATTTGAGATGCGTTTTACGCGTCGCGTGGGACGCATATTAGAAATTGATGCGGCGAGGCGACCTTGCCACTTTGTACGCAGGCATAAACTGATTACGCGTTGCCAGAGAATTGGTCGTCAGTGTACACACACACCGAAACACAATAACGAAAACATCAACATAGATACAGTTTTAAGATGCGTTTACGACGGTATTTGGTCATTAACAGCTTTGTTTCAATAACTTTTAACCCAACGTGGCTCTCATCTAAAGTCGTTCGTCTCTGATGTATATGATAAACACGTCGATGTCTGAACCTATTATCACAAACGATTAAAATTTATATTTGTGTACGAGGTATATACACCGCGGATACCATTACCATGTGTGTGTAAGGGGGTGGGGGGGTGCAACTCCAAGTGGAAGCCGGCAAAGTCCGAGTCGTTGAACCACCCAGTTTAGATATGTTGTTATCTAGGGCAGTGTAACTGAGATGGTATTTTAATTTATGCGACTGTAAACTACATTAGAGTTAGATTGACAAATAGTTTCTCTCATTTAACGTTTCAGAAGAAATGTAGCTGATTGCCATGGTGACCAGACAAACGCGTGGTGTACCATAAGTTACGATACTTTAAACATAACAAAACATACTTTAAACCCAAAGCACGCCCTCAATTGTTGTAATTTTAAAAGATAATACATTTAAACAAATTGGCTAACCATTAATTCGCCAAACAAACGAATTATATGCTAATATAAACATACATCCGTGAGTAATGTTGAGTTATAACATTCATCTAACACGATCTCCGGTTGAACTTGTTGTTGAAATTTACAGCCGCTACTAATTGGAATGTCCGATGGTGTTTACTTTCAGGCTGGAATTATCGCTCTGGTGGTCCATATCTCACACTGGCAATCGTTAGAGCCAATCACAATATTGTAATACTATCATGTACGTTACTGCCTGTCAAAACTACCGCCAAGGCTGAAAGTATTCTTGATATGGTAGACTGTTGTTTACGTGAAACGTCATTTTTTTCTATTACTAATAGTTAAAGGAGGGCAACTCGAACGCTAAGGGCAGTTAACGGCATGTTTGGGGTCTCGCTCTTAGTAAACGTCTGAGGCCCTATCTACGGGTTTTCACAGTTTACTAGAACCAAGAAGAAAACATGCCGTTACCGTCCGAGTTGTCGTCCTTTAACGAAGTATTGCTGCGAATATGGCAGGTTGTAGGTGTTTTTTTCTGCATTCCCATCGCGGATTGTGTGATGTCACATTGTAAAAGACTGTGACACCACACAATAGGCCAACGACCTGTAAAAATCGCACCTGATTCATGTACATACCATTGTAAACTACATGTTGCAATCGACCTACCCAGCTCAATCAGTAGAGCGGCCGATATTTAAATCGCCTATTTTCAAATGGTGAGGTGAAAGTTCTACTATCGACTTGGATCATGTGAGAACAACTTCGCTCTGAAAACAGTCCTTTGCCCGTAAACAAAGAAACTAGTAAACGGGTACTGTTATTTGAGATTGTAGTAAATATAAAGTCTCACGTCGAACGTCGCCATTATTGCGAAAGAGATGAACTCGAGTAGTGCTGTTTAATATTACCTATTTATCAACACAATTTTTGTATTTTAATTAATGGTACTTATCAGTAATACAATACGCACGCGCACATACCGAATATAAGGCAAAACTTTCACGATTTAAAGATAATTACCAGCGAACTATTCAATAAAGAAATGTGCTATTATAATGAACGACACCAATTATATCCTATTTATGTTACAAATTACTTCTCAAATTTTTCTATAATTTATCATGCCAATATTCAGAGACTGGTGTAAAGCTATATCAAGGTGATTTATACCGACATACTACTAACTGCACAAGAATAACCCATTCTAGATTTAAATATTGTGAAATAGCAACCTTGTGACTACGCTGGAAATAACGCAGAGTCATTATTCTAAGTTAAGGTCAGGTCACTCAAGGTCAGTAAACACGCAGACATTTACATCTCTTTAAAAGTTGATCAAATCGTAAAAACAAGAAGAATTTTCATGGATACACGTGTTGATCCCTTTATTCTTTATTAATGGAGCCAGCTGATACTACGGGAGTTTACGATTACGCATTCTGTTATGAAAACTGGTGTCGGCGATTAATACGATCAACATAATTTATCTGAATGTGTTTCAGAATGGGCGAGTTATCCTGTGTTCGACTGTAAGAAAACACGTCTATTTAAACACAGCCTTAACTACTGATGAACAGTAATGCAGTATTCCCCGTTTTAAACTCATTAATTCATTTGCAATTTTCTACTTAATTAAAAGGAAACAAAGCTACTACAAATTGTTATTTCAGAGTTGAGATTTTTTGCAGCATTTTCAAACCTGTAACGCATTACTCATTCGGAAGGAGCTGTTTGAAGAACAGGGTTCTCAGGTTTCTGATTAAATTACAAAACTGGATCGAGCACATGTGAACATGCACATGCAATGAGTCGGTATATCTGTGGCCAACTATATTTTTTATGCGATGACAACTCCAATGTAACTTATTGAAGGAGTGGAGGTTTCAGGGAAATAAAATTCACACTAATTATTTTCACAGAATTGTTTTAAACCATATCAAACTATATGAAAGTTCACAATTCACACTAATTAAAAATCGACGTGGTCACGTGATTGCTATGTAAATTAAATTGAATATTCAAATGAGTACTATGAAAAAATTGAAATGAATACCACAATTTGTTTCATAAAAATGCAGAATAAAACATGAGAAACTTAACAGTTATAGCGATTTTGCAAAAATTGTCTATTTTTACAATCAGATAGTGAATCTTAAACATGCGTAATTTTACCAAGAATCGCTGATCGTATCGTATCGTAATCGTATGAATTATATATACCACATCTACAATCTCTGAAAAATGTGAAGAAATCTGCTGAGTGCTTCCTGATTAATATTCATTTTTATGTCATAATTAAAACAACGATATACACTAATTTGCATATCAATTGATGAATATTGGAGTTGCATTATTTTTTTAATGGTTATAATGCGACTAATGTTTGACGTACAGTAAAATGTAGATGATAGGTGAGCATCTAAAGATATTGCAGAATTATTTCATACTTGACTATTATGTGTGATTATTAATTAATTATTTAAAATACGTGAAAAAAGTATAAACATGATTAACATGCCCCCCGAATTCTACCGCATCGTTTAAGGTAGCAATTGGGAAAAACGAATTAAAAATTGATCTGTGATTCACATTCTCTAAAGGTTACTGGGCATGCTACTATAACAAACTATACATTTTCTGAAAGCTTAGATATATGTGAATATGGCAGTACACATGCCCTACCGATTTTTGTTTTGCTTTCGCGCTTTTCTGACTATACCCCTGCTGCCCGATGAAAAGGGCTGTCGCAACCTTCAAATATCAGTAGCCTTCCAAATGAATTACTATACTTCAATCGAGACAATGCAGACATAATTCACGAACAACATATCTCATTATTTTTTCAGCCTCTTAAAAAAATTAAAGCTAAAATTAACCTCGTTGGCTACGTTGCTTGGAATTATTTTTAAATACACCCAAACCATAGACACACATAGCCACAGTACACACATAACAAATACACTATTGTCTTTAATTTGCAGTGAAACAGCCCATGTGACATGCTTTACATCGTGGATACCTGAAACCATTCTTGCTGCAATCGGAGCTGACTGAGCGGCAGTGAAACACACTAGCCAAACAACTTTCAGTCTTACTATTCTCCATCTAAGACTGACAATTGCCACCAGGCGGGATATTTACGTTGACATTCAGTCAGACTCTTTTGCGTACGGCGTGAATGTGTGTGGATCGTACATAAAAGACAGGCGACACTCGTTTTGAGTAGACTATAATATATTCAGTACAGACACTTCCGATGTGGCATATTTTACGAGGCATCTGATCTGAATTGACACATTTTTATTACCAAATACGACTGAATAGTTTTAGTCGACCTCCCATATGCTTTTCATTGAATCATTCTCACATTACTTTCTTACTCACGACTCGGTTTGACATTGTGATATTTCAAGGTCAATTTCAGATCCCGTTGGGATAAGTTAGCAATTCTTCAAAAAATAGATCGAATATTATTTAAATTAAAGATAATCATCTAACGTCAAATAACCATATACATTATAGTCGTTATTCTCTCAATGTAACTGTTTTTTTAGTGGTTATAAATCAATTAGATAATGACTTTTAATGTTTTAGTGCAGTCAAATATATATTCAGTATATAGTTGGCAATATTTGTAATTTTTGCAATTTTTGATAATCTACTAAACTTAGCAAATTCAACTCAGTAGAATACATCGAGTCCGGCGGATGCTTCACTGAATTGGTTTCATGCGTACTTATTACGAACATGCTAGCAGTTGTTTTGCGTTATGGTTCGACCAGATCATGTGATAGAGGCGCCAAGTGATTGGTCGATGGGGTAACGTGTTGTTTCACAATTTTCACAATGAATCAACTTTATAAATTGCCATGAAATAAACGCGTAATTACTGTAAATAAGAAAAGCAAACGTCCCTGTAAGTACTGCCCTCAACATAGTTTATGCCGTGTAATCATGACACAGGAAATTGACTAGGTTCCGTTTAATGCCACCACGCTCTTTCAGTTGCACATTAACGGATATGGAGTAAATTCAAAATTAACTACAGAGAATAACTTTTTATTTAAATGACAAAAACTTTTTTTTCAGCCGTCGGGCTCAACAAAGGGACGGTTTTGTACATTATATATATATCAGAAGGTGTTTGCGTTATCTGGAAAGTGTACACAACTGCGACCTGAACGCTGAAAAACTTGCTAATGCCAAAATGGGGGATATTTGTAAGAGCTTTCTTTTCTTTATACAAACTGATTATTTTTTATTCCACGTAACAAAAAGCAAAAATTACATTTGTATCTGTACAAGAATTGTTTTCGAGCTCAATTTATAACCGCCAAGCTGTATTTATGCTGTTCATGTATGCATACCCCGAACATCATAAAAATGTAGTTTCATACGTAGTAATTCGGGAAATCATGTTTTTTCTCAGTATTAATGTACCAGACAATCGACTGAAACTGCAGCCCATGCTTGTTTCAAAGCAGAAACATGTTTATTACCTGTATTCTACCTGTATAATCAATTTATATGATACATCTAATCATTTTAATGCAAACAGCTCATCATACGTAATGTATACAACGCCTCTCTTACGGGGACTAATGCAATAATGTTTTTGTAAGAATCCATTGTAGCGAAAACGGATCCATGCGTGCGAGCAGATAGTACATATAACCACTAATCGTGACTTATTGAAACCGATGTCTCCTTATATCTTATGTCCCGGGGCTTTCGTTAATAAGTACACAGCAACTAATGTTTATATATAACTCAATAATTTGTTTTGTCAGCTAGTTACGATGAGCGTGTCTCACTCAAGAGAAATGCTGGGATTTAGGACTGACTAACCTACGGGTGAATTCATTGTAATTTCCAACTACTGAACTCACTCAATTAAACAACATATCAGTCACTTGCCTCTTATTGACTTTTGTTCGAATTGTTCAATAAGTTAATGTGCATAATCTTTGTTGAGTTGAAGTTTAGTTCTTTTAATACAACATTTGCGTAACTGGCTAATGATTAGTTTCTATCATCAACTATATAATCAGTAATTATTAAAACGTGTTTTCAAAAGTTTTTTTTTCAATAGCTTGAAAAGACAGATGTTATTCTTTTTATTTTTTAAAGAACTTTCTTTCTTTGATCGACACAACTGTTTTTGTTTTGTAAACATGACACCAGCAATAATCAAGCTTGTAGTATTTTTGTAAAGGAATTACTATCGCTATTTGAAAAAAGTTGACTGAAACATATTTATATAGTGTGAATATTCAATTTGGTCGACATTTATATTGTTGCAATCATCACATCTTCATTTTGTTAATGTTCTTTCAAAATATTGTGTGCCGCACCAGTTTTTTTTTTTTTCAATTTAATTTAACAGTTTAATTGTCATGCGAAGAAATGCGATATGAAATACTCCAATAGGAGCAAATAAAATCCAGGTCTCGCCCACCTATGTTATGTAAGAGGAAAGTATCGATGTTTTCGATCCTGACTGCTTATTCATGATGCATTGCTCAACGCGATCGCCGTGTCATCGTAATCTCACATAGTTAGTCGTTGAACACATCGAGTAGAAACAGTATTACAATACAGCAATTGACTTGTTCATACTCAGTCCATTTATTCCATGCTTTTAGTGTCAGTATTCAAGACAGCTTGGTATATTTCAGGGTCAGTACACCGAGTGTATGCCTGTATGGCTCGTGGACACTCATCAAATACACGAGAATAGATCTTAATCAAAACAGCAATCAGGATTGGATATACCTTACATTAAGAAATGATTGAATTGCACTTAGAATATATTCATTGTTTTTCCGGGTTTCCTATATAACTGATTTGCTTGATTACAATCGTATATTAGCTTTTGGATGGAATCGGGCAGGCTTGATGCAGTCAGACTTGTACTCGGCGACAACTGCATTCACAGTCCTCCAGTCGTTGTTGTCGACGGCGGCGGCGGCGGCGGCGGCGACACCATGGCGACTTCCCCAACGACAACGCAAGTACAGACGTTTCCATCGAACAATTTAAACTACGGCTGTAACAAGCAAGTCAAGGACCTCGAAGTGCGCATCACAGAGTTTCAACCCCACGCCAATGGACTTTACCTTTCGCGTTATAAGGCAGCTTTTCTAGCTACCTCCATCCTTCTTCTGTGCCTCGCCGTGGTACTACTTGTAGTGTTTGTCATGAAAGAACCAGCATGCATTGACGGTCCCATTGCCACGCAACCACCCACCAAAAGTGTAGCCGCTGTATTAGGGGATCCCTCGTGGCATAGTTACCGCCTGCCTACAACTTTAAAACCTTTGTTTTATAGGCTTGAATTGCACCCTTTCATCGAAAAGGAATACTTAAGTGGTAGGGTCGAGATAACCCTGACATGCTTGCGCCCAACTAATTTTATTCTTCTCCAGAGTGACTTTTTGGAAGTGACATCAGCTACTTTAGAATCAAACAATCCAGCACAACATTCGCCGAGCATCGTCGATGATCCGGTATATTCCGAAATATACAGTTACGTTTTGTTTAAATTAGACAGTGACCTCGTGGAAGGTGGACAATACACAATTCATATTGAATATTCGGGATATATACTGTCCGATGTTGGTCTTTATAGAACGGGGTACATTGATGACAATGGAGAAAATAGGTACAGTATATCTAAAATCGTATGCTATTTTATGTTATTGTACAAATTGCTACTCTCTATTTTTAACACTTAATAATCGTGGTTTACGTAAGGAACTGTCCCGACCGAGTTTAATCCGTTATACCATCCCACATGCACAACGAAGTAGTTCTACACCTTCTAATAAATTATAACAGCCGGCGGTAACAAACTGAGAGACAAAAGGGCAGGCATACCGGGCATTGACTTAAAATATTGCCAAGCTCAATAAATGTTATACAGAGCATGGAAGGTACTAAGTTACCTTCCATGTACAGAGCAACGCTTCCAGACAACTAAATGATGTGCTCATGTAATTCCTTGTAAATATAGCAGTATGTCTTTGCCTTGAAATGTTTATTACAAACAAATGAAAATAAATGAATTAACGTTAATTATACGCCGTTGACACATAGCACATATTTACAACAACAAATGTAATGCCACTCTGCGTTAAACTGTACCATCTATGTGTTATTTCTTGCCCTTAATAACATTTGAAACGTGATTTGTTGGCAGCAACGTGACAGCCTAACTCATCGACAACGCTTATTTAGTCCAATCAATCAAATTGTAATCTTCCTAATCGTATTTGCTACCAGCGGGGACAGCATACTGTCGTACGCATACTGCGACTATCCGTCTGGAATCCCCAACATATGTTATATCAATCTTTAGTATTTTATCACGATCCCATGTACCAAGAGCGCGTTAGTTGAAATTATGTTAATAACTGGTAACCATGACGTAAATGATTGTAAAGTGCACCATACGTTTTTCAAATTAGTTTCTTCACTTCTATTGATTGATTTCGTTGTATTAGCAGCGCTTGTCGATTTTCGATGTATTATCGGTATCGCTTGGATGTCCACCTAAACGGCTACCCCTATTGCGGTTTTAATATACTAATAGCTAATAACAACACACACGTGTCCTTGTATATATTAGAAAAGACACACGATACCAGGAATACATTTGTGAAAACGAACTCCGTTAGGTATTGTGGACTATAATATATGATAAAATGTACCAAAGTCGGTAGCGATCGTTGCAATCTACATGGATATGAAAATGGGATCGTGGACATGTTTCATTCATCAAGGCCAATATATAAAGTAACATTTAATAGCTTGATTATTAAACATCAAAAGAAGGTCACTTATAAACACCAATAACGGAATCATCACACTAAAACCCTAACTGACAGGATTGTCCTGAACATTAAAAGACAAACTAAACAACGAACATACTTTTTATTTACAAAATGATTACTTACATTGAATAAAATTAATGGATCGTATCAATTACAAAATAAATGTTGCTATGGGAGGCGGAAATAAACTTTTATAATGCTTGCGGTTCCTCAGAAGAAGGGCCCAGCGAATCTCCTTCGATAAAATAATAGTTTATTTCTTTTGTCTGTACACCCGTGAAATGAACAAGTTTTCAATTATTAAAATAACAATAAATAATAACATCATCACCAATTACTTACATGTGCTTCAACGGTTTAGCTGGAGAGAAATATTTATAAACAAATTATAATTAGGTGTTGTTTAAAATTAAAAAAAAAACATGAGTGGTCGGTTATACATATGGCATATAATGTGTGCCAATTCTACTACAAAGTGTCCAATAAACTCATAACCTCTAAAACTATGACGAACTTTGTCATATTTATTGTATTTGAATATATAATGATCAGCGAACTTTTGAGTAAAGAAGCAATAAAGACAGCTCATTCGTCTATAGGTTATTGCACTCTTCAATTAGATTTCAAGGACATTATAATCTCCAGCTATTGTTGGTTTAATGAAAAAAAGTCTTGTACACTGTGGTACTTCTTTTATGCATCTTACGGTGAACAATGTGTTAATTAGCTCAATGCTCACAACATTGATTACGTAACAGTGAGTGATTTGACACGTTATTCAGAAGAGAAAATTGCGCATTTAATAATTGGAGCATCGAAGCACTGCCATGTCTCTATGTTTCATTTAATAAAGTTGTGTTACCTTGAAATCTGCAGATGTATTTGCCTCTTTATTATATTTCCAGGATACAATCTTCCACTAGTGTAGTGTTGATGAACCAATCATTGTGTTAATTGACTTAATTAATGCTCTGATATGATTTTTTAAAGTGTGTATCATTCATCATTATCGAGTTTGTTTCTGCTATAATTGCAATTATGCATTTGTATTTCTTTTTTTCATATTACTTAGTGTTTTGTACATCTATCGTATTAATCTCAGTTTTTGTGCGGTGGTTGGTCTCTACGAATAATCGTTGATTTCGTTGGTTGCCTCTTAACTAAATCGACCCTCTGGCGTGCACGTGTTCACTGTGCGTTGCGTTGCGTGTTGTGCGCATCGTCGTACTTCCAACGAGTCTCCAATGACGCGAGGTGGGTCGAACAGTATTTTCCATCTGCGTGCATGAACCCCCCAATGCCACTTCATGCTACTTCCTTCGGATACAAGTTCGCTATCAATAAAAGTTTCTTAATTATTTAACAGTCGTCACTGAAGTTAAATAACAGTTTAACATGGCACAATTCATACGTGAATTGAAAATCACTGCTGTTATAGGTCAACTAGATACCGAATGTGTGACCTTTAACGATCATACAAAATGCATATTGGGACAAAGCTTCTTGTGGCGAGCACATCATCATCATTTAACGGCTTGGTGTGCACTTTGTGGTACAAAGATCGATTAAACATGATGTACTATATATTTGATTACGTCGTTCTTCTCGGGCAGTGAATTTATTTAAAGAAGGATCATCAATTCTAATTGCTGCATATTGTATACATGTGTAGCAGTGTTGGGATTTGTGTTTAACTTACTATTTATACTCAAACCAGCACATCCTGGCTACCAACTCATTTGTAACACAAACAGATAGCACGATTATAGATCTCTTCACAGACGAAGGCAATCATTTCCTATCTAGTGGGAATAAATTAGCAAGTCACATCCTAGAGAATATGTGTATTTTTCAAGGCGTCAGGTTACACCGAAAATAACGTTTTCGGGCTTTCACATTACAAATTAATCATATGGGAAATCAGTAACTTATTGATGATAATAAAAACTGTCGACGATGTAAGACACACGAACGTTTGCTATATACTGCTTGAATATGGGAATACGAAATATTGACAACATGGAGAATACATCCGTATTCACCATGGATTGTGATTTAAAATAGACACGCATGTGCTTTGAATTTTTGGTACGTATATGTTATTCAAAGGTCATGCGCTATATTATTATCCAGATGAGTGTTATTCATATTGTCTCGTTAACATTTGTGATTGAAAGTTAAACCTGTATCAAATAAAATGTTATTTTCCCCTAAATACGATGCATATTACCATATATAAATGTATATTTAGTTCTTCATTTGCTTGGATTCTTCTTCCAGGTATCTGGCGGCATCGTTTCTATCGCCAGTGTCGGCCAGGAAAGTGTTTCCGTGTTTCGACGAGCCAAGCTTCAAAGCTAATTTCAGCATCACCCTTATTCACGAAGCAAAGTACATTGCGCTGTCGAACATGCCGGAGAAACTGTCGCCGTACGGTAAAGAGAAAAGACAAGACGGGTTGATAGCGACGCATTTTGAGACTACCCCAAAGATGTCTACCTATTTACTAGCGTTTATTGTGTGCGACTTTGCACATAGGGCCACCGTATCTAACCACGGACGTGTCGAGGTATGCTTCATACAGTCAATGTACCTTTTAAATATAAATCCTAGACCTATTGGTCGATTGCATCATAGTCAATAACCATCTCTATGTTTCATTGGCGAGCCATATCACGGGACATTATATTATTTATTCGAATACAATATTTATTAAGAGACAGTCGTTACACTTCACGGTAACATTTCTGGTTCTGTAGTGAAATCAAATATATATGACAATGCATATGTACAGTAGTTAACATTTTGGGTGCCAGGCAAGCATATACTTGAAGTTGAAATTGGTTCAAAGCCCGAATAATAAAAGTTAGGCTAGAACTGTGCCAATGACCGGTAAATGGGAAGTATAGTCATCTTCTGGAGTACTACAAAGCCTGGAAATAGTCTGTTTGTGACAAACTCTTGATATTGTTCCCAAAACAATTCGTAAGTAGTCCTTATTTGAAAATTCCTATCCGTCTATCACATACTTTAGATATTTATTCAAATCGTTATGTAACACGTGACATCCATGCTTAACTTTTCTAGTTCCGGGTGTGGGCACGCAAAGGAGCCATGGACCAGGTAGCGTACGCGTTAGACATTGGACCAAAGATATTCACGTATTTAGAGAACTATGCGTCCATACCATATTCCTTGCCAAAAATGGGTAAGCATAACTACAAAATATTGATTATTGAATTAGTTCAATTTAGTTAATTTTATTTAATTCAAATCAATCATGTTATTTTAATAGGATTCATTTAGTTAGTAACGAATCATCGTGATTTTTATTTGTGTACATTTCGTAGAACAATGCAAATGTCAGCGTACGACTTACAATGCATAATGTTACGTATATTGTATTAGATATGATAGCATTGCCGTCGTTGGTGGCCACTGGAATGGAAAACTGGGGGCTGAATACGTTCAGGGAAAATGTGTTACTTTACAAGGAAGAACTGTCATCGAGTCGGGATAAACAATGGATTGCACTCCTTATTGGCCATGAACTCAGTCACCAGGCGAGTAACCTAAGTTTAAAGCTTACGTTGTCAACTTTCCGTAATAATTTACGTCAATATAGCGAGAATTGTCAGCTAAAATATATTATGCATTAACAACATTATTATGCATTGTGTTCGCCCTTTAGGTTACTTTATGTTTACGATAAAAATAGATGATTAATAGATTGAATGATTGTTTGATTTATTGATCAATTGGTTAATTTAAAAAAAAAACACAGAAACGGAATTGATACACCAGTTGCTACAGTCATTCATAATATTGCAGTGCAGTGTGACGAGACGAAAAATACAAGCTTATAATATCCAACCTAGACCCCCCGTCATAATTAATGACACATCCCTTATTACACTTTATGTACGTGCTCTGACCAACATTGCGGCCCCTATCGGAGTACGGAACACGCATCGATATGAAATACGATGTCGTGGCACGTGGTGTGTAACCATCAGATACCAATCCATTTCCGACACAGAAGAGCACACCTTCCGGTTAACCACTTAAAAGCCATCTGGTACTGACTCTATGTCAGAGGCTTAATTAGGCCTGGGTCATATCAACACTGTTAATCCAGGGTCTATTATAAATATTGATATATGAATAGATTGTGGACGAGCAGGTTTCCTGTTTAATATCAGCAAAGTATGACACGATTTACATGACATAGAACTTTAAAGTCGGCAATGCTAAACACAATACAGTAATATGAAATAAATATCACTCAATTAGTCAATCACTCGTATTAGAATAAACTAAATAATGCGATTGCCACTTATTTAACATAACGCTGTACCGCATCACAACCAAAGAAAAATACTTCAATACTATAAGTGTGTTGTCCTATTGTCCAGACATTGTTTCAAATCAAATCTATTTAAATTACTAGTAGATTTTAAAGACGTCACAACATTTTCTTAGCGCAAAGGGAACTTTTGATGTACCTATATTTATTTGACAAATTACTTGGCACATTTTAGAATACGCCGGTGTAATGAGAGATTTGTTTTTTTTCCATCAGTGGCACAGCAACCTTGTGACGCAGGCGTGGTGGGACGAACTCTGGTTGAAAGAAGGCTTCGCCACCTTTATGGGATTAAAAGCTGTGGATTACGTTCATCCGGATTATCAAATGGTAAGTCGTTGGATTACATCGTTAATCATTCTGAAAAATAATGACCAATAACCATATCTAAATCTGTACGCAGAATTAATTTTCATTAGAGGTTTTTAATTTTTTTTCATAAACAGATAGCGCAGCAATTTCTTTGTGACGATTTGCATAATGTGTTTTTATTGGATTCATTGTCGACGTCACATCCGGTTAACCAACACGTCGACACTCCCAGTGAAATCTTGGACAATTTTGACATGATTGCGTACCAAAAGGTAAGGGTCGATTTTCAAGGTTAAAATGATCTTGATAAGATATTAGCTATGCAAGATTAAATTAGCAGCATGGACTAATTTCCAACCGATTATCAGTGCAAAGTTTATGTAGAAAGAAAGAAAAAACATGACTCATTTAAATGAAATCAACTGCCAGACAGTGCTTGATATGACATGGCTACATCGAATAAATCATGTTCCTTCGAGGTACAGTCCTTGACACGATCACGTGGTGATCGAGCGTTGTCTTGATTGGCCCGTTGCTTAACGGTAATCAGCCATTCAACAGGCAATTTGTATTAATGAAATAACTGTATATTGCGGTGATCCACTCGCTGTTAAACTGATCGTCTCTCATTCACTTTAATCACAGTTAACTTGCGAGATATAAATTGAAAGATAACCACTATTTCCATTCTAATGGAAGTTTATAAGCAAACTAACTCTTTCCGCGCTCCACCGAACACAGTCGCATTTCCATATAGAAAGCAAGGCCACTTCTGTTCATACCAAACCCCGATATTTGTATTGGCGTGCGTGACCAGAGCGCGCTAATAGTTGTCAATCCTCGCCCGAGTACATTATAACACTAAAAACGTTATTTGCTTCTGACTGCATATATTATACATGCCACCTCCTCGCACTACACTTGCTTTCACATGTTGTAACAGCTGGACAGAATTAAAATGCCACTGTTGATCCAGGGTCTAAGCTTATGACAATTTGATAATATGTTCCATACGTGTGTGCATGAATGTATTCATTGCGTCACCCGCTGATCCATTTAAATGGGGACAATCATATCAAACTTTTTATTTTTCCACACTGTAAAAAAAATTTCGAACACAATTGGAACTATTTCGGGATAATTGGATTCGCTTAAAATGTGCTAATGTAGGGTTGTATT